AAAGTACAAAAAATATAAAGCAAACATTATTTCACAAATTGGTTCGTATAAAATTAACGGGACAGCGATTAAACAAACATGAAACACACCAACATAGTACATCATTGGAAAGAAATTTATTTTTTTCCAAATATCCACGTCGAATTTCATCATCACGATGTCTTTCAAAAGACGTCGCGAGAATTCATTCTCGAAAAAAAACAAAGCCTAACCTAAATCTTTCCTTCGGTCTTCGAGTAACGCGAGAATTCATTCTCGAACAAACAAAACTTAACTTAAACCTTTCCTTCGGTCTTCGAGTAACGCGAGAATTCATTCTCGAACAAACAAAACCTAACCTAAACCTTTCCTTCGGTCTTCGAGTAACGAGTATTGCAAGCAGTATTGCAAGTTGACGAGGAGGACGAGTAGCGAGGCTAATGACCAATAGGTTTCAAAGTGTCGAGCGTGTACGTACGACGTACGTCGGGGAAAACGAAGAGGAGAGGAAAGAGAGAGAGAGAGAGAGAGAGAGAGAGAGAGAGAGAGAAACACGAGCAACTGACAATGGGACGAAAGAAAATGTTCCGCTCGGCCGCGCTTCGTTAACCGAGGGTTACGCGTTCGCTTTTATTTACACCTGGCGCGTAGAGGACGCAACGCGACGTGGCGTGGCGCCCACGCAACGCTGACTCGTGCGCCGACTATGCCTGCGCGCACCCCTAATTTTTCTCATTTTTGAAACCTACGAGGGAACTGCACTCAATTTACGCGGCACTTCTCTTCAAAGCGGTTTAAATTACAACACTGAATTTACGAAACACATAGTTTCCACCTAATTTCTCTTTTTTTTTTTTTCTTTTTTTTAATAACCAAGAAACTAATTTTGTCAATTTGTTCATTAAATTCACGTTCAATCACGAAACGTTCGTTACGTTGTAAAAATCTGTGGAAGAAAAAATTTTTAAAAAGTATATAATAAAACAATTGCGGATTTCTTTTAGTAGGAAGTGATTTTTGGCCCACCCTGTACATCGTAGATGCTGAGCCAAACGCTCGACCAGCCTTAAAATTTCGACAGAGAATTATGGAAACACTTGGCACGGGATAAGTTTGAGAATCAAATCATCCGTGGAAAATAAACAATGTTAATAATGAGAGTGAGAAGTCGAACTTTCGAAATATTTCAAGCCACGAGGATAACGAGTTTGTGCCAATTGAAAAGAGAAAGGTTGATTGTTTTGAACTACAGTACCGACAGTGGTAGCACCGAATGAAACTAACTTTTGCTTTCTAAAATCAGTCACTATTGTTACTTTCTTTTTTATTAACCTATGTGAAATATATTATATAGGTTAGGTTTAGGTTAGGTCTGAAGATTTCCTCCAAAAAAAATAAGTTAGGTTAGGTTAGGTATAATAAATATAGTATATACATACATATATATGTATATATATATATATATAAGTATATATAAATCTATAAATGTAGATATATTTCTACAACAGCTTTTCTTTCCAATATTTTGTTTTTTTCTCCAGTACTGACAAGTTTTCATTCGTGTTCAAAACCAGTCCACGTGGACACACCGCGCAAATGGAGGGACGAAGAGGTACGGCAGGCTCTCGACTTGGTTCGAAACGAAAGGAAATTCGCGTGGTCTTGCGACTCGAGATCGCTGGATGAATTTTCAACCGAGTTAGCCGTCTATATAGCGAGCAGTTACAACTGACAGGATATAAATAGGCGTCGGTAAGCCGAATCCAGGAAAAGTCGGTCGCGGTTGCACTCTCGGCTCAACCGGAAACGGGATATATCGCGTTTATTTTCCCCCTTCCATATCCTCTTTTTATGTTCGATTCTTCCGATGATTTTTCTCAAAACACGTCGGGCCTGCTAGAGCTGTTCGATACCCCTAATATATAAATATTAAATTTAATAGTTTTAATATAATATAAAAAATATAATTTATTAAATTTGATATAATATAAAAAATATTAAATTTAATAGTCATTTAACAGTTTCGAAAATAAATGATCTAAATATATATATATATATATATATATATATAATTTTTTCTGTTAAGTAAAAAAGATAAATATATATTTAGAAATTAAATGTTTGTCGAATTTATTTATATCTAATTTTTTCTTAATTAAATTTAATTTGTATATAATATAATATATATAATATATAATACATAATATATAATATATATTATATACAAATATATATATATATATTACATATTACATATC